GTGGAGTGGGGCGTGACAAGAAGCAAAGTCTGAAAATAAAACCCCTTTCCAGGAGATTTACGTCTACCGAGAAGGGAAATAATGTCTTCTCCGATCAGAGAGGGGGAGGGAGCCGTTGGAGGAGCGGATTCCAGTGAACTAGGACCTCCCGACCTTTCTTTACACGAGCCCAGCCCGCCTGACCGACCCTTGCACGAAGATTTATTTCAACTGCAAATTTCCAGCCAACCTGAACCTTCCCCCCCACCCCGATGGTCAACTTCGGTGGGACAAAAAGAGATAGAGACAAGCTGGAATGCTGGGCTCACCCAAAGACCACCTCAACAAACTTCGCTGGAGCCAGGTGCCGTGAGAAAACCCCAGGCGAGTGAGTTCCCTGACTATTGGAGCCAAAGGTACTGTGGGGAAAGAAGAGGGGGCGATGAAGGAGAATGGAGAAGTTATCAGCACCAGGGGCCTATGAGAAAACCCCAGCGGAGAAGAGAAGATAGAATAGAGAAGAGAAGAAAGAAGAGAAGAGAGAATAGAATAGAGTAGAAGAGGAGAGAAGAGAAGAGAGAAGAGAAGAGAATAGAGAAGATAAAATAGAGAAGAGAAAAGAAGAGAGAATAAAATAGAGTAGAATAGCAGAGGAGAGAAGAGAGTTGGAAGAGACCTTAGAGGTCTTCTAGTCCAACATTAAGAATACCCCACCAATGTGCCCAACCGAAGTATACCCATTTTAAGGAAAAGGCAATCTGTTCAGGGGTGGCTTTCACATTTTGTTACCACTGGTTCACTGTGTGAGTGCCTGTACGCACCCCTTCCACACATACGCCCGGCCTTCTGTGCATGCGCTTTGATCACACACACACCTGCCGCGCATGCAACCACCCTAAAAATGTGCTAAAATAGGAGAGCATAGAGCCGGGGCAGGTGGTCAGGGCCACCAGTGATTTCTGCTACCAATTCGGGTGCACCGCTCCGAAACGACCGAATACCACCTCTGAATCTGATCCAGGAAGACAGTTTGATTATGATTTTAGAGAGGAAGGTGGCTTGACTACACTTGACTAGATCTTGATGCTCAGACTGCCTTGAATAGCAAGGAAGTCAAAGAATCCCATCCCAGACAAAGTAAAAATCACAGGGAAGAGACCATGCAGCTAAGGCATGTAGAATTGGAGCACAAAAAAAGACCCCAAATTATCGAAAAATCAAAATCATTTGAAAAAGAGCCCACCGTATAAACAATACGACACCATCATGAGTTTGCAAGATCTCAGATCAGCTCTTACTGACCCACAACCCTGGGGATTGTTCACCAAGAGTTGACGAAAAATCAGAAGTTTGGGAGGGGATTGACAGATATGGACAGTGGTGGGATTCAGCCGGTTCGCACCACTTCGGGAGAACCGGTTGTTAAGTTTCTGAGCAGTGGTGAACTGGTTGTTGGAAGAAATCATTAGGGCAGAGAACTAGTTGTTAAATTGTTTGAATCCCAACAGTGGATATGGACCATGGAAAGGACTGGAGTTGATGGGGGGGAGGGGGTTGGTTTTTACCTGATCAGGAATGCATGTAGTAGATGTACAATCACAATCATTGGTGACAGACGACGAGAGATAACCTGGTGGGCAGGTCACTGTGGAATTGTTACAGCTACAAACACACCGATATTCGTCACAGCACTGAGTCTTCACCCAAATCAGTTTACGGTGCGGTGGGCAGATCGGGGTGGGCTTTGGCTCGCATTCTTCCTTTTTGCAGACTGCCAATCAAATCAGAAAACCCAAATAGTTAGCAGGAGAGGTGTCTGTCCCCCCCCGCCCCCCCGTGTTATAGGAAATGGGGAAAGAAGGTGAAATAGAAAACTTATAGCAGACGCCAAATAGGAGAGTCCTTAGGAAGTCATCCCAACATTTGGTGGTTGAAAGGAATATTACCGCAAGCGTAATCAGGCCGACATCCTCCAGGATTTGTCTGGATCAGTTGGAGACCATCTTTGCAGTGAGGTATGGGGGGCAGTTGACAAGAGACCAGATCGCAGACTAAAGAGAGAGAGAAAAAAAAACCAAGGGAGATTATTCCTTGAACGAGCAACGGAGCAGGATCTATTCAGGGCATGAAGCAGCCAACAGGCCTGTTGCCAACTGTCAAAAGGTGGCTTAAGACCATCAACTCTGGAGTGGTCTTTGGTGAGATGGATGGATGGACGGACGAACAAACAGGGATGGATGGATGGATGGACGCAGAGACAGGCAGACATGGATGGATGGATGGACAGACATGGATGGATGGACAGATGGCCAGACAGACAGACAGACAGATAGGGATGGATGGATGGATAAACAGACAGATTTGGATGGATGGATGGATGGATGGATGGATGGATGGATGGATAGATAGATAGATAGATAGATAGATAGATAGATA